TGATTTTGCAATACATTTATACGTAAATATTTTCGTCACGATAAGTATTCTAACTGGGAATATAGCTGTAATATATGCTGTGCTATCCACTCGTGCTCTTCAAAAGCCCTGCTACATCGTTCTTATGAGCATGTCGTTGGTAGATATTATGTCAGGATGCTGTGGAATCTGGATACTTGTTGAGTGGACCTCAACCGGACAAATGTTTGATTTTGAAACAAATGTTGGATGGTTAACCTACAGAATAGAGGGTCTTCTCATGGAATTTTCTTTATTTCATCACGTAATCTTGGCAGGCGAGAGATACCTTGCTATCATCTATCCATTCTTTTACACAGCCAAAGTACGTAATACATCAACTGGCTGGTTTTTGTTTTGCACTTGGATAATATACTTTGCCATTTTCTCCACCATCAGTTTCAATAAAAATACTCATGAAAGTATGGTTTATGTTTCAGTTATATTTTCGGTAGTAGAATACCTAGTTGTGATGTTATTGCACGTACGTATATACATAGAGGCTCGTAAGGTAGCGAACCGAATTTCACCGAATATCTTTCCAACTCAAGAAGTTCAAAATAACTTAAAAGCGACACGGATAACTGTTATTATCCTTGGTATATTCAGCGTATGCGTTTTGCCGGCATCATGCTTTTTCTTAGCAACGCCGTACGTAGAATTACGTTGTAAAACAGTGTATTACTTTACGATGACGTTGTTTTATGCTAACTCAGCCACGAATCCATTTGTCTATGGGATATCGCATTCACGTTTCCGTGAAGTTTTTAAAAAAATTATTTTAAAATCCATTGGAAAATAACATTTGTTCTCTCTCTCTCTGTACTAGAGGGTACACTCGCTTCGCTCGCTTACCCTCTAGATTCTACTATGTTAAACGTCTCGATTAGTTCGATTATTATTCATACCCACCAAAAGAAGATTGGCGTAATTACAGACGTACGAAAATACACAACAATAGTACAGAAATTTATCGTTAGTCCTAGATTCATACGTAATTATGTGTGCACATTGTCTAACGTCCAGAAAAAAGATTTGTTTCTCTATCTTGACCTTTTCATTGTATTTCACCTAGACAATTCAAGACTTGTCATAGCTTGCAGGTGCGGATCCAAGGGTGGGGGCCCACCTGGCCCGCCACCCCACCCCTCTTTGAAAAAAAAAAGAAAAAGAAAAGGGGAAAAAATGATCGCCCAAAAGGCCTCAGAGAATATTTTCTGGTGTCTAGAACACATAAATTTTGCGGGGGATTATAGTACTACTATAGGCCTTAATAATAGGTCTATAGTAGTATTGTTCTAGTGATGTTATTACACGTACGTGTATAGTCAAACTCAATGGGTTCAAAATGACTTCAAAGCGACAAGTATTGTAACTGTCAATATCTTTGGTATGTTCAGCGTATGTGTTTTGCCGCTAACATGTTTCTTGTTAATAAATTTGTCAACGCCGTCGTGCAATTATGTTGTAACAGTTTTAGTTTACGGTAGCGCTGTTTTATGCCAACTCAGCTACAAAAAAAATTGTCTATGGAACATCGCATTCACGTTTTGTGAAGCTTTTAAAACAATTGTTTTCAAATCCATTGGAAAATAAGATTTTTTTTTTCTGTACACTGGCATTTTTATTACAGTTTAAGAGAACCCAAAGGTCTAGGATGACAAGTCTTCGGAAAAAAGAGGATTATTTATTTTGTATAGGCCTATTAGTCATTATCTGCCATATTGGCCTTGATATTTATCTATTGTGTATTAATGGAAATAAAAACTTTTTGAATTTCACTGATTGATTTTTAGGTGTAGATTATTGTTTTAAATGTCTTAATGAGGGCGTATTACATTGGTCTTCGATAGGCCCTTGTCTTCGGACAAGAACTACCAACTAAACAACTAGAAACCTAACAACTGACCAATAAAACACACGTCAAAGTGTCAGTGGTCGGACTGCTTTGCGGTGTTTTTTTTACCCCGTTATCTTTTGATTGACACCATTATGTGCAGGCAGACAAGTCAGTCATTAGATTGTGGTTTAATATTACCAATATTTTACAAGTTATATTGGTGGCTTTATATTGCATTTGTGACAGCATTGCAATGGGGAAATCGAATAAACTTAATCAAGATACTGAATACACTATGCTTCATTTTCTTGCAATTACTTCGATCAAGGGACACGTATTGTCAGTACGAGAAATGTAACAACCAAAGAACGATTATGCTCAACGAAACACGCATTATTTGTGACTTCGCAATAGATTTATACATACTACATATTTTCGTCACACTAAGTATTCTAGCTGGGAATATAGCTGTAGTATATGCTGTGTTATCCACCCGTGCTCTTCAAAAACCCTGCTACATCGTGCTTATGAGCATGTCGTCGGTAGATATTTTGTCAGGATGTTGTGGAGTCTGGATAATTGTTGACTGGACCTCAACCGGGCAAGTGTTTGATTTTGAAACGAAAGCTGGGTGGTTAACCTACATATTAGAATGTCTTCTCATTGAATTTTCTTTAATTCATCACATAGTCTTGGCGGGCGAGAGATACCTAGCTATCATCTATCCATTCGTTTACACAGACAAAGTACATAATACATCGACTGGCTGGTTTTTGCTTTGTACTTGGATAATTTATTTTACCATTTTCTCCTTCATTTTCACTAAAATTCATACTCCTGAAAATACATTTTTACTTTGTTTTACGGCTATGGCAGTAGAGTATATAGTCGTGATATTGTTACACGTACGTATATACATAGAAGCTAGAAAGGCAGCGAACCGAATTTCATCAATTATTGTTCCAACTCACGGGTTTCAAAATGACTTCAAAGCGACACGAATAACTGTCATTATCCTTGGTATGTTTACGTTTTGCCGCTAACATGTTTTTTCTTAGTAAATTCGTCAACGCCGTATGCAGAATTACGTTGTAAAACAGTGCTGCACTTTACGATAGCATTGTGTTATGCCAACTCAGTGACGAATCCATTTGTCTATGGAATATCGCATTCGCGTTTCCGTGAAGTTTTAAAAAAAATTGTTTTCAAATCCATTGGAAAATGAGATATTTTACTCTGTACACTGAAATTGTATTACTGTATCAGAGAACACCAATGCATAAGTTGACAAGACTTCAATTAAAAAAATCATTAGGATTTTTTTTTTATTACTAGCCATTTTCTGCCAGATTGTTTACCGGCCGCTTTTTATGGAAATTAAACATTTTTGTGCTGATTGATTTTTACGTGTCTTATATCGTTTCTTTCCAAATGTTTTAGTGGGGGGTGGGGGTGGCGTTTTTACGTTGGTCTTCGACACACCCTTGTCTTTGACGAGAACCACAAACTAAAAAACTAAAAACTTAACAACCGACTTATCAAAACATACGGATTAAAGTGTCAGTCACTGGGCTGCTCTGCGGTTCTCCTCCCATCCCCCTCCCACCCCCTGTTCTTTTGAGTGGTACCATTATGTGCACGCTAACAAGTCAGTAATTAGATTGTACTCTGTGATTTTTTATTACCCATGTATTACGTGTTGTATTGGCGGCTTTATTTTCTTAAATAAATAGGCGTATTCGTGACTGCATTACACACCGGAAGCAATACTAAAATACTTCGCAAAATTATTCTTACTACAAATTTTCTTCACACTAAGTATTCTAGCTGGGAATATAGCTGTAGTATATGCTGTGGTATTCACTCGTACTTTTCAAAATGACTTCAATAATAACGTTCATTATCCTTGGTATATTTAGCGTATAGGCCTGTTTTTTTTTCTTAGTAAATTTTGTCTACACGTGAAATTTCGTTGCAAAACAATGTTTATTTTTACGATGGTGTTGTGTTATGCCAACTCAGTGACGAATCAATTTGTGTATTAACTATTGCATTCACATTTCCGTTAAGCTTTTAAAACAATTATTTTCAAATCCATTGGAAAATAGAAAATTTTTTGTACACTTAAAATATATTATTGTCTAAACGAACGCCAGGTCAACAAGACTTTAAACAAGAAGATAATAGGCCTATATGTATATTTGTATTTGTACATATATTATATACTGTATTGCGTAGGCCTATATAAAGTGTTGATTTTACTCCTGGTTAAAATGAGTACGATTAGGCCCTATACAAAGTAGAAACGTATACGTTGACATTATATAGACATACATTTATCTGATCAAATATTTCGAGCATTCCTGTGCTCTTCCTCAGTGACAATACGTTTATATTAAAGTTCATAACGTGAAATAAAAAAAACTTATTGAAAATTGGAAGTTATTGGAAGCAGAATAATCTCCTGCCCAAATGATGATGTTGCAATTGTAAATGGAGAAGTATAAATAGGCTATTATATATAGCAGTAAGTACTTGTTAGTTTATTCATATACAAATTTTGAAATTTTACTATAAATACGCTTTTCATTATTAAACATTGTTAAATTGACAACACCAAAAAAAAAAAAAAAAAAAAAAAACCAATTTCATTTTTACTAGTATTATTATGAAGGTAAATATTATGGATTTACGTTTTAGTTTTATATATTTTTTTTAACAATGTGTATGAAACAATATTTAATTTGTTTTAGTAATACATCAGGATTATGCGCTTTGTCGCTAACATGTTTTTCTTAGTAAATTTGCCAACACCTACGTGGAATTTCGTTGCAAAATAATGTTTATTTTCACGATTCTGTTGTGTTATACCAACTCAGTGACGAATCCATTTGTGTATGGATTATCGCATTCACGTTTCCGTGAAGTTTTTAAAATAATTGTTTTTAAATCCATTGTAAGATAGAAAATGTTTTGTACTCGTAAAATATATTATTCTCAAAGAACTCCAAGGCCTAGGTTGACAATACTTTAAGCAAGAAAATAGTATACATAATAATAATAATTATTATATATACATACAAATTAAAAATATATACGTTGAAACTAAATAAAAATATGCCTAATCTTTATTGCAAACAAAAAACAAACAAACAAAAAAACAAGATTGGATGTTACAATATTTGTCAAACAAAAAACATCCGAAAAAATGAACAAGTACATTTGGGAATCAAGAAATATTTAAAAAGCACACAAATTCATAAAAAAGCACCATTAAGACCGTTTTATCGGGTTTATTTAGGGACTCCCAGCGGCCTAGCCTAGGCTGAGCAGCTAGCTAGTGTGACAAATAGACCGCCGCGTGCACACTGGTAACTACGCAGCGCAAAATGCGTAGGCCTCTGGAAGTCCCCTGTGGTAGTTGCCAGGTTATCGAAAATGTTCATTTCAAATTTAAGTACTTAGAAAAATTTTGACATTTTACTAGAAATCCGCCTTTGATGATTAAACTTTGTAAAATTTACAGCACTAAATAAAAAGACGATTTTAGTTTTACGTTCTATATAGTATTATTATTATTATTATTATTAAGGTAAATATTATGGGTTTTTTTTTTACGTTTTAGTTTTAGACTTTTTTAACAATATGTTTGAAACAATATGTAATTTGTTATAGTAATACATCAGAATTCTTTTAGCAGTAAACCAGACAGTTTTTGTAGCTGCACAATGTCACCATAAGCTTATCCATCATTTACGTTCTTAATAATCCACTTTCTAAATTTAACAACATCTGTAAAGAAATCGTAATTACCGGGTACACCACAGGCTTCACCCCAGCTATTGATACCAACCAGGTACCATCGACCCAAGTATTTACGTACAAGTCCAGTGCCACCGTCGCCACTGCAACTGCCAAATCCGTCGTCAGCATGGTCTAAACATATCATATTTTCTGTATATCGTTTCACTGATTTTTCACAAGCCGTAAATTCCAAGAAAACTAAAGTGATTTCTTTCATATACATTGGAAAATATCCAGTCTTGCTACTTTTACCCCAGCCGTTGAATCGCATAAGAGCATGAGGTATCTTTAAATCTGTTGCGAGACACACGCTCGGCAAACAGACCGGTCTCACGTGATTTGTAAAACGACGAATTCCACTCGATAACCGAATTAGGGCAATGTCATTGTTGAAACTGGTTTTGTTATATTCTGGATGGGTAATTATGCGCGACACATTTAATATTTCTTCGTCTGGGTCTTTATGCCGTACGTCATAATCACCGATTGTAATTGAAATATCCTCAGGTCCGTGTATAATCTCTAGACAATGAGCAGCTGTAACAACCCATTCATAATTCAGTATGCTACCCCCACAAAAAAAGATCCGTTTTCTTATGTGATACAAACGGACTGCCCATGGAGCTGAACCCTCGGTGGCTCTTTTGTAGCTATAGCTTGTATAGTTTACTTCTTTAGCGTTTACAACTCCGCACACTGTACAATAAATAAAAGAGAAAGAAGATAAAAACGTTTTTAAACCCTAATTAAAGTTCAGCCTCATAAATATGTGGTGTATTACTTCGTATTCGTAATCAGTTCATTAAATACGAAATGTTAATAGCGATAACAATCAACAAGTGGTGTATTACTTCGTAATCAGTTCATTAAATAATATAAAATTTTAATAGCGATAACAATTATCATAAAGTCGTATCTCAAGATATTATTATTATTGAATTACTATTGTCCATTTGTAAATTTGGTAAACTACAAACAGTAGCAAGCAACCTTTTCATTCATTCATAAGGGTAGTTTATTAAAAAATAATAGCTCTTGCAGTAAACAACTGAATTGTAACAGTTTTACTGTAAAACAGATATTAAAAGCATGAGAATATAGGCCTAAACTAAAATTTTGGACGGATAATACATACATCAAATCTTTAACATTTAGAGACTGATACAGAAACAAGCAATACATTTAAAAACAAAAACATTACAACAAGGCAAGTGAAAAGGTATATGAAACACTCAAAAGCATTAGCAAGAAGAACAATCCACACGGGCAATAAAAAAAATCAAATCCTAAACGCCAAAAAACCGATACATAAACAATACAACAAGTAAGACATGTAAAAAGGCATAGTAGTCAAGTAAAAGCATTATCCAAAAACATTACCTTAAATACAATTAAAAGGCGAATTAAAAACCTTTAAAACTATTAGGCCTTCTTCTCGTTCATGTCTGGTCATGTATTGGAATGGGCTATTAAAATGTCTGTTGGTCCTATGATTAGGGAGAGACAGTTAATAATAATAAATAATAATAATAGTTGGATTTGTAGAGCGCATCATGCGAAAAAGCCTCTATGCGCTTGGTGATTGAGCTCTTTGAGTTGGACATTTTGATTGGCGTTTCTGAGTTTCCTATCATGACACTCAAATCTGATTTTAGAGATCCAATTTTTGAAATCAACCATTAGTGAGCTGCAAAAATCTAGGCAAAATTGATCAAGTCTTGCAATGGAAAGTTGAAGTGTTTTAACATTTTTAACATTAGCTTTATAAAAAATATTAGACGTGTGTAAACCCAAGGAACAGTTAAATTAATTATTACTATTGTAATTTAACTGTTCCCTGGTAGACCCCACATAAGATCAGAGGAAAGTTGAATACCTAAATATCTTTGTGTAATCCAATACGTGTAAATACTTAATACACGTATACGCTTTGTTTATTAATAAACTATCGACCGGCCATCGACTGAATGATCAATAGGCCTATCAACGAGTATATACAATGGACCTTTCCGCTAAGCCCCGCCCCTTGGATATTGTTGCTAAGGTCCCACAAGACGACAGTGTTAAAACATACGCGAACACGTGCGTTTGTGGGACAACACGTGTGTTTGTGAGACGCGCGCGTATCCCTAGCGCTGTTCTAATTAGTCAGTTGATAAGTTTGATTGACACTCCGGAAAGGTCCATTGCAATTAGGCCTCTTGAAAGTAAGCTGTTGCCGTATGAAAACATCAAATAGAAAATATAATTTGAATTTCAGTATAAAAAGTATATTATATAAAAATAAATTGATATGAAACATCAAACATCAAATAATTATGAGAAATTTAAAAACAAAAAACATCAGAAAGTCAAGGAAAATCATTGAAACAGCTAATTAATGAACATCTAAATAATGTTTGTTTATGTTTACCTTTCTCTGGACATGAGCCTGTTGACGCGTGTACATCTTGTTGAAAAGAAGTAGTAAAATCTATTGAATGAAAGTATATTATATAAAAATATAATGAACATCACTCCTATAATAATAATACTAATAATGATAATGGCAATGATGATGATGATGATAATAATAATAGCCTAATAATAATTAGTATTATTATATTAATAATAATTATACTAATAATGATAATGATGATGATATGATAATAATAATAATACTAGTAATGATAATGGCAATGATGATGATGATGATGATAATAGCCTAATAATAATTAGTATTATTATATTAATAATAATTATACTAATATGATAATGATGATGATATGATAATAATAATGATACTAGTAACGATAATGGCAATGATGATGATGATAATAATAATAATAGCCTAATAATAATTAGTATTATTATATTAAAAATAATTATACTAATAATGATAATGATGATGATATGATAATAATAATAATAATACTAGTAATGATAATGGCAATGATGATGATGATGATAATAATAATAGCCTAATAATAATTAGTATTATTATATTAATAATAATTACACTAATAATGATAATGATGATGATATGATAATAATAATAATAATAATACTAGTAATGATAATGGCAATGATGATGATGATGGTAATAATAATAATAGCCTAATAATAATTAGTATTATTATATTAATAATAATTATACTAACAATGATAATGATGATGATACGATAATAATAATAATAATAATAGTTATAATAACAATAATAATAATAATAATAGCCTAATAATAATAATTATTATAATATTAATAATTATACTAATAATGATAATGATGATGATGATGATATGATAATAATAATAATACTAGTAATGATGATGATAATAATAATAATAATAATAATAATAATAGCCTAATAATAATAATTATTATTATATTAATAATAATTATACGAATAATGATAATGATGATGATATAATAATAATAATAATAACAATAATAATAATAATAATAATAATAATAATAATAATAATAATAATAATAATAATCATGATATCAAAAATAAAGTAATAAATTGTTGCATCATCACACGGTGAAGTAACCCTATAGCTATGTATTCTTAGGTCGTATGGTACTAACAGACTAACAGGCTATACAGTTACTGTTCTCTTTAAACTAAAATCATATTAAGTATTATATGGAGCATTTTTATATTGAATAAGTTGCCAGCCGTATATTGCTTTATATCACAGTTTGCTATACATATTCTCACTTAATTTGTATCATTCATATAGGTCTACTATTTTTTTTGAAAGATAGTCGATCATCGACTGAAGAATAAGTATCTTTAGCTTACCTACAAAGGACAGGGCCAGTATTAAGCTCAGGAAATCCATCTTCCTCTTCTTCTTATTGAATGGCCAGTTCGTGTTATAGTTACTGAAGCCAAACGGCAACAAAGAATGTTATGTTTATGATGCACTGATTATTGTTATGTAACGGATGTTACCAAATAAAAAGGTGCGTCAGTGTGTATACTTTATATCTTTCTTGTGATACACAGGAAATAACAGAACCAAAGAAGTTTTTTTTTCTTTCATTTAATTACCGTAATTTTTAAGTTACTTGATTCAAATATAAGTTAATTGTGTGTTATATTAAACGGTGGCGGAACGTTTTCGATTGAAAGTGGGGCGGGGAGGGGCATGGTGAAGGGCGAACCGGGCCCTGGAAGCTACGCTGTTGTATTTTCCGAACAAGTCCGCCACTGTTTAATATAACATCTGACCTAGCCTATCATTTTGCTTGACAAATGACTAATTCGTAATGTCAAGCGAAAATATTTTCACTACAGTTTTACACCTATAATACATTAATTACAATGTACTATAAATTCTGTAGTTGACTTTATGAGAAATTTATTTTTAATAGATGGCCTAATTAAATATATTATTCTTTTCGTTGAATCAGATGGAATTTAAATGTGGTTATATTACGTTAGTTTGATGGTTTACTGTAAGGAAATCAGTTACAATTACACATTCATCGTTAACATAAACAGATCTACAGCGTCGCACCATAAGTGCCTACCCCCTGTGCCTAAATACAGAATTTACGCAAGGCGAGCGTATGGCAAGCCGTTTTATCATTTACCTCTGAATTGCAGTTAAGTCGAATGCATTACAGTTAACTGTAATTCAATTACAGTTAACTCGAATTGAATTCAAGTTAACTGCAATACATTGGAATTGCAGTTAACTTAAAATGAATTAGAGTTAACTCTAATTCAATTGCAGTTAACTTGAATGCATTTCAAGTTAACTGCAATTGACCATTTTTGGTAATTTCATTAAGTGATTGTGATTGGCTGCTGTATTTGAGTTAAGTGCAATCGACCATTATA